AGTGGAAGGGGGATAACTCTTTCTACCTCGTATTGGCGACCAAATGTGTCTGGTTTTCAATTACATATGGTAACATGTGTCAAGTTCGAATTAAGATGTATATTTTTACAGTGGGTTTTTTTCTGATGATTTTATGTCCACATCTATCCATATTTTTACACAAGTTAGTATATTACAGTTTCTTTTCTTCTTCTTTTTGCGTTGAGCATAAATTTGATTTAAAACGTTACCCGTGGTGAAAGTGACGCAACCCTTTCTTTCTTGTCGAGACTCCGTTCTTTTTGGTATATCATTGCATATGTAAAGTTAAAATCATAACATATATTTACGTAGATTCATATTAATATACATTAATATGATGTGATATGTTAATACATAATAATATAAGAATTTTCAGTGTTAGAATAGATAATTTCGTGTGATGCGGTCGGGTAATCACGTTCAATACAACTTCGCTCTCATGGAAAGGGAATTTGTTCGTAATATCAATCACTAGTTTGTGCAGCCTGACTCGATTACATACAAGTCGCCTGAAATAGCCGGAGTATTGCTGATCGACACACAGGAACAAACAAACGTATTGATCAACACACTCAAGGGAGGCCCATGGTCTAAGGGAGGCAACTCTGTCAGACTTAATACTCCTCATCTACAACTACTACTACGTCTTCCGTTCACAACAGAAAACAATGCATTTTCTAACTTGGAACGTCCAGCACTCGTGTTTATTCCTAAAGTTTAATCAAGGTGTTATTTTGAACGTCACTCTCATCTACAACTACTACTACATCGGGGGAGAGGGGTGACAACCATTATTGGCATGAGTATATATGGGTTAATACATGCATATTAGTATGATATTCGTATCTATAAGTGTTTTTCTTACCCTGACTTTCTTCGGTGAAGTTTTTGCCTGCAAATGATAATTAAAATATTTATTTATTATAAGGGTCTGCTGTGCTTCAGTGTGAGTGAGTGAGTTTAGTTTTACGCCGCTTTTAGCAATATTTCACCAATATCAGGGTCCATTATATGAAGCAGTTGGTAACGACTTTGGTGAAACCCACAAGTATGGAGCTAACAAACCACAAAAATATGTAACCGGGATTCGAACCCTTGATCATAAGTTTCCTGAGTGTCCAAGGTACGTAACTCTGCGTTTGACCACTGAGCCTTTCGTGCTTCCAGTGAAATAGAAGTTGTCCCGAAGATGGAATCATTTACTTAAACAAGCTATATTTAGATACAAACTTAAACAAGCTATATTTAATATATATAATTTGATACAAACATTGAAAAGGAGCCCTAGGGAGACCAGAGATTCAGCCTGAGGATCTAGACTTGCTTTATTTAGGGCTTTAGGACACACCAGGGACAGACACACCAGACAACCCAGCCACGCCTGACCCGAGTAGAGCAGATGGAGTCTCAAAGATGATATGCCTGCGCCCTCTGTTATACACGAGTAAGTGCAATTTTGCCCTGCTTTTAGTTTATTCGGTTATTGATTAACGCCGCACTCAGCAATATTCCAGCTATGTGTATGACGGTGGTCTGTAAATAATCCTATCTGGACCAGACAATCCAGTGATCAACAGCATAAGCATCGATCTACGCAACTGGGATACGATGACCCTGACCAGCCGATCCTGTTAATCGCCTCTTTACAACAAGCACGGGTTGCTGAGGATCAATTAGATCAAGATCGATCCGGGTCCGCTTTCAGCGATAATCCAGCACTATCGCGCAAGAGAATAAGTAGTCCTGGGCCCCGTTCCTGAAAGCGATCGTAGCGCAAAGTTGATCGTAACTCCCATACTTTAACATAGACTTACGACTGTTGTAGCGCTACGATCGCTTTGAGGAACGGGGTCCTGAACGGGAATAGCTTATGAAGCCCCGCATAAATGATATAAATGAAATATTGTTAAATGTGGTACACCATACATCAGTCACTCGTTGATCTTATCCCAGATCAAATAAGTGAAGTTGGTCGAGTACCGGCACTGCTGATTGTTCAAAATTCGACGGTTTAGGCTGTAATCGTGAAGTTGATTAAACGCCTTTTCTATGTCACACTGATTATCTCCCTTTACTCTAACAGTGACTAAATTTCGGAAAGTATCTTATTTAGGTTGATTCATAGCCGATTCAGTTTTTGAATGACCTTTTCAGTCTCCAACTTCCGTGTAAAACTGGATCTACTCGTAAATACCATACTCAGGAAACAGTTTCAATGATACATTTTCCGGTAAAGTTTAAGCTTTCAGTCAACGAGGTAAGTTGATCCTGTGCATGCTCATATAAATCATATTTAATCATAAGTGGTTTGTTCTCGGACCTCGGAGTTATTGTTATCAGCCCAGTAAAATGTCACATTCTGTTAACTATGTAATAATGTTTGTAGCGTGGAAATGCAGTTAAACAGATGTGATTCCTTGTTTATAGGTACAGTCTCCGGGACTGCATATATGCGGATGCAGAGGGGATGTGCAGGGGATGTGCAGGGGTGCGCACATGAACGTTTATTAAATGACCATTGAAACTCTCGAGAAAATTGGTGAAAATGAACTGTGCACACACCCCACCCCTCTTTCTGAACTGCGCGCCCCTCCTTTCTCAAAAGCTGTATCCGCCCCTGGACTGTACACACCTTTGGCCATTCGTATGTTTTATTGAAATTGACGAAAACCATCTATCAACCAGCTCCATTAAAACCGAATCATATAACCGGAAGAATCCTCTTTCTTTGAGAGATATTGATTTAAAACCGATCGAAAGGCACAATTCATTGTTTGATGAAGCGTTCTGGTTTCAATTTTACATTTATAACGGAGAGACTAGAATCGGTATATTTCACCACAGTGAGTGAGTTAAAGTTTAAATTCATGTTGGCAATATTTCAGCCATATTGTGACAGGGTGAAATACACAAAACAACAACAATATAGATATGATGTATATACATATCATTATAAGTAATTTGTGAATTACGTTACGATTACACTTTCTTAGTAAAGTACAGATTCTAGTACTTTTGTTGGGTTGAGTCCGCAGTCTGGACTACCAGTTGTCCGACTTCAATTTTGTGGAAGCCGCGGTGGCTGAGCGGTCTAGGCGTCTGACATTGTGTGCTGGCGAATTAGGTGCCTGACTCTGAGGGTGTGGGTTCGAATCCCGGAGGGGACTCAACCCAACAAAAGTACTAGAATCTGTACTTTACTAAGAAAGTGTAATCCTGACCACTTTCTAAATTGCATTGTGTATTTCATTCCAGTCTAGATTGATTCCTCTTCCCGGGAATGGTAACATCTGGAAGTTGAGTGAGTGAGTGAGTGTGTTTAGTTTTACGCCGCTTTTAGCAATATTCCAGCAATATCACGGCGGGGGACACCAGAAATGGGTTTCACACTTTGTACCAATGTGGGGAATCGAACCCGGGTCTTCGGCGTGACGAGCGCACGCTTTAACCACAAGGCTACCCCACCGCCCCTCTGGGTGTTGAAACAATGGAACGAACTTATCACTGATATCCTGAAGAATTTATCATAAACCTACTAGTTCATTGGATTCCTGTACAGTTTGTTTGGTAACACACCGTGGTTTGTCCTGGTACTGTTATATACTACAAACAGAATATCGAGACAATCTCCGAACATGTTTTACCCTTTTTTAGCATGGTTGGATGTCCTTGTTTTGGTCTCATCACTGCTCAAACGATTTTAGTACTGATTATGCCAACATTGTGAAAACGTTAAGTACCCAGCGTTCGAAATTAACGTTGGTCCTTAGGCCCGAATCGGACTGAAAACCACTCGGACCCACAGCTTTTGTTTTCTGCAGGTCCTTATGGCCGACATCTTTTTAATCCCGAATAACTGACATATCCCTGTCTGATCATTCTGATTCCTGCAGACGTTTCAGAAGACTTAGATTTTGACATGGATGTTGCTTTTGTTGTAAATGAAGACTAGTCGGTCGCCAGACTTAAAGCTCTTTAACTCAGTTTGTTAGTTGTCACATATTTTGTTTGTTGGGAATTACTTTTATTGTAGCTAAATATAGGGCCTACATATTCTGATCAGGACCCACAACTTTTATGGTTCTGGTCCCTTAGGGCCTGCAGATTTTCAGGGTTATGGGCAAACACTGTCAGTACCCTGAAATATTTCAGAAACTAATAATAATGCTTGTCACTCTCCGTCTTATCCAATTTTCGGGTATGTACTTTCCCGGTCGGCAGTGTGTTTATCAATATACATTCTACACAGCAACCCATTTGTCAGTTCAGCCAAGCATCCATGAAGTCATCTTCACGTCCTCCGATAGTCGAATGTTATACGGTTTATGATCGTCTTAGTGCTAAGGTCGTTCGTGGAACGGGACCCACACATGCAGTACCTTCATTAAAGTTAAAATAGAGGAAAAGTGAAATAGTTAAATTGATACCTCGAATTGTCTGTACAGTACACCTCGAACTAGTTAGTGTGCATTTTTAATAGGAACAACGATGTAAATTCCAATACCCGTGTAAGTGGCACAGAAACCTTATGGGATTTTAAGTAGTTTTCGTCAATTTCGTGAAACAGAGTTCAAGGAAATGTTTGGAATAATGCCCGTCACAACATTTATAATAAGGGAAAAGACCATAGTGTTAAGGAAACTTGAGTATATATGGAACCATTTCTAAAGATCGTTAAAATATAACTTTGATAGTTTGTAATTAAATAAGAGGAAAATAAACGACCAGTCTTCCGATGCATTAGCAACTTTTAAAATCGACAACCGTGAAATTGTTAGCAAAATCCGTTGGTCTTCGACATATAATCTTGCTAGTACTTCGGAATTCTGAGATTTCTCCGCTAGAGGACACTCTGCTAAGCGGTGATTTCCAAAACAAGCTCTCCACAGCGACTACTCATTCAGTCAACTCCAAACATATAATACAGAATCGGGTAGCACGCGCTGGTGACGAGCTCTATGATATAAGGCAATCACTTCCGCATTTAGTAACTCGGCCTCCACGAAATGTGATTTCCACTTTCAAGAACGTTGTCAGTAATAATCATTCATTCCACCATTATGAAGTGTATACACTTGGTCGTGATGTATGTGTGTATGAAATTAGTGCAAGGTAAGATAAGAAACGCTCCGTTGCATGTGATATTTCGGGTGAACACAAGATATTCTGTTTAATGTAAGATTCTCGGATATTCTTAGAGATGTCATTTAGTGGATGTCTAAAAATAACCATGACAATCACAAAAGTGTAACAAAGTTGATTTTCTTTCTAAAAGTCAAAGCAATGAAATTCATTTAGAACGCAGTTAGACAGTAATGCCATTGCCACGTCCATTCATCTAGCCGTCACTGCACAATGGCTACTAAACTGCAAAATATATTATGGGTCGTGTTATTCTTTTCCACTGACACGGGTAAGCTGCGGCCTCATAAACTATCTTTATTATGACAGCGTTTAGAAATATATTATTACCTGTCTAACTCATACCAACGTAAACATTTAATCTTATGTATGAGATCAGGTTAGGAAATATCAGGTGTTGCAGTTATCTGGGAATCCTGCACTGTGACACCCCTGTATACACCAGGTCTAACTATGCTAAGTATAGCATGATCAATAACAGTTCATCCTTTGGCTGTGGGTGTTGAAAGTAACTCAATAACATTGCTGTATTGACATTACAAATGATTTTAAGATGTGTTATTCACCTTTAATGCAGTTCATGCATTATTTGCATTATGTCAGATTTATTTTCTGAAACGAATTTATAGATATTGATTAATTGATTAAGTTGTTAGATTGTGAAGAATGTGTAGTAACTATCCATTCAGCAAATTTCATTCATATTCATACTCTGTTAGGCCTCAAAGTGTGGTTTTGGTGATGAATATGCATGAATTTTGTTAAAACGTCCTGTTGTGCAGGCCATATGTATGATGGTGTTATTAACAGAACATATTTTATTTACAGGTAATATAAACAGTAAATTACATTATTTTGAAACCCTGAAATCAGTGGAGGTGCGGAGCCGTGTTAAGAGAAGCACTGATGGACACAGTACAGCTTATAAGGAAGTCTGGTTCAGTGCCTTAGGAAGGTATGACTTTTATAAGCCTTTGTATTGTAAACAGGTTCCTATTTTTAATTCTGGTGTCCCCCTGCGATATTGCTGGAATATTGCTAAAAACTCACTCACTGATATTTTTAAAGCTTTTAGTATCTGCTTTCAGATTATGATTCATGTTAGGTATTTGATATATATTTGGCATACTTCATTATTTTTACTCCAATGGATCTTTAAACTGCAGTGAGTAAACCATTATAAAATTTAATTCTTACTGAAATTCTGGATCACTCTCATCTGGTTTCTAATTTTAGTCTGTCCATATGATGCCCTGAGTGTGTTAAGTATCTCATGAGCTCATGACAGTGAGCTGAGTGCAGCATAAAAATAAACTCACTCACTCACTCCAGGCGGACAGACGACACAGTCCACACCTAAAAATGATAATCCAGGACAAAATACATCCTCTGCAGCCCAGGCAACTGACAGGCTAGATTTGTCAGGTTCATAGACATGGTTTATGCACATCATCATAATCAGCTTGTGTAGATCAGTGCTCATGATGTCAATCACTAGATTGTCCAGGCTCACTTATTTACAGACCTCTGTTACATGGCTGGAATACTGCCCTGCGCTGCATAAAACACACACACTTTGGTTAACATGGGAATATATATTGCAGCCAATGTGTAAACTGACAAATGTATGATTGGGTGATTAGGTCAACTTCTAGTACTAGCATAATTAGTCTCTTAAAATCACATTGCTGTTTCTAAGCCCTTTTGAACTTTGTAAACGAAATATTTGGGCATTTTGTTCCTTGCCTAAATGAATTTTAGTTTACAAAATTGCCTGAAATTTTCATTTGTTTCACACATGACTTTAACATGTATTCATTGTTAAATATTTTCATTACCTTGTGTGTTTTGACCGCCTCCGTGGTGTAGTGGTTAGAGCGTCCGCCCGGAGAGCGGAAGGTCGCGGGTTCGATCCCCGACCGTGTCATACCAAAAGACATTAAAATATGGTGCTTGTTGGTCCCTGCCTGGCGCTCGGCATTAATGAGTACAACAAGGACAGGTTGGCTCGGAGTCAGTATAATGAGTCTGAGTGGGGTATTCATGCTTCACTGCGGCATGGTATCTCAGTGGGCTAGCACTATAAAACCAGCTTCAGTCTGGGCTAGTACAAGCAGCCGCACATATACATACACACGCATGCACGTCGTCATATGAGCGAAATATTCTCAAGCACGACGTTAAACACAATTTCACCTCACCTCACCTCACCTGCCTTGTGTGTTTCAGAAATTTCAATATGGTAATAAAACCTGATGTCAGCGTGTTGTCCAACTCTTTCCAATCTTACACAGTCAATGAAGATGGGCAGACGGAGCCATTTCATGTCAACAGGAATAATTTCTATACTGGACATTTAACAGGTTTGTTTGTTTGAAAGTTTTCAATTTAGTGTTTCAGTTCAGCATGGTTTTTGGCTTCCACCCTCACTTGCACATTAATTCAGAGTTATCTCCCTTAGCTTCATGCTTGCTCAGTTCCAATTTTAAACAAACATACAGTAATAATACCCAACAATGCTTAATATGTCATGTCATCTCTGATATTGTTCCCATTGGAATCATCAACCACCTTAAATATAAAATATGTTTTATCTTTATCTTAAATATTGTTTATCATTTTCAGATGGAGATGGCCATGTTGATGCTCATTTAGAAGATTCAGAGTGGAATATTCAAGTAGCAATGAAAGATGACATATATTCTGTTGAGGTAATGAATTTCCCTGAAGTTGTATGTTTCTCATATACAACAACCAATTCTCGGTCACTGTCAGAGAGCTCGCCAGAATAAGGACATTTTGCACTTATGTTGAAGACATGTAAATGCTTATGATATCAATCATTGGTTTGCCTGGGGTTAGTTACAGGGATGGAAATTACCGCACAAAGCAAGCCCACTAGGAGTGACTATTGAGGGGGAAACAACTATTGCGATAGCGATAGTCTATTGCAACATACTATTGCGATACCGATAGTCTATTGCGACCCTGCCGAAGGCCCGGGTACAATGGGTACAATGTGTGAAGCCCATTTCTGGTGTCCCCCACCGTGATATTGCTGGAATATTGCTAAAACGGCGCAGAACCATACTCAGTCACTCACTCACTCTTCCTTATGTGTATCAGGGCGGTGGGTAGCCTAGTGGCTCAAATTCCGAAGACCGGGTTCGATTCCCCACATGGGTACAATGTGTTAAGCCCATTTCTGGTGTCCCCCACCGTGATATTGCTGGAATATTGCTAAAAGCGGCGCAGAACCATACTCACTCACTATTGCGACCCACTATTGCAATACTATTGCGACCCACTATTGCAATACTATTGCAATAGGTTTTTTTCTCCTTCAAATTGTCTCATTTGAATTCATTTCCCAAATGAATGTATAGTTTATATGAAATACAAACAAGTTGAAGTAGTTTCAGTCTCTTTTAATGAGTGACAAGAAGCTTGAGACCCAAATCAAGTAAACAGTTAAAACACAAACTCAATGAAGCTGCAAGTCTGCACCCAAACATCCTGCATTTCACGCTGTGCATTTATCAACGGAAGTCAATTACTAAACTATCGATAGTCACACATAGTATCAATGCATTGATAGTTTTTCATTTCTACCATCGATTAATTGCTATCGGAGACTCTATAATTGCAATGCATGGATAGTTCGATGCATCGTTACAGCCCTAAAGCCCACCACTATTCTGGTCACTGGTGTAAACTGTTTATTAGCCAGTAACATATGACAGACACCAGTAAGTTATATAACGCACCAGTGTTAGCTCCCAGCTAACTGAACTCCAAGATAAAAATGGCTATGGAAACATTGGCCCACAGTGCTACAGGGATTTGTTTCTGTAGCCCTAAAAATGATCGCTGATCCTTTTTAAAATACCAAGAAGTCAAATTTCAAGTTTTTAAATTTAGGGACCATGTGTTTTGGCAAACATGAGATCTAGTCTTCTCGTGTTCACTCTACTGTGGATGGATTTCAACCTTGCTTTTCTTATCAGGAAGTGTGCAGCCTCATGTTGACATAGTACGAACACACTAGAGTAAACAGCAGGTTAGCCCATGTAGACATACTCATTACAATTCAGGGAATCTACTCATTGTTGTTGTTTATGCTTGGGTAAACTTCAAGAATGATGAAATACACAATGCCATTTTAGAAAGTGGTCAAATGTAACATATGTTATATTTGGGATTACACTTTCTCAGTAAAGTACAAATTCTAGTACGTTTGGGTTGAGTCCCATCTGGGATTCGAACCCATACCCTCAGAGTCAGGCACCTAATCGCCAGCACACAAAGTCAGACGCCTAGACCGCTCAGCCACCGCGGCTTCCACAAAAATGGAAGTCGGACAACTGGTAGTCTAGACTGGTAGCATTAACTTCAAGAATGATGTTAATGCAACAATGGTTCAAGGAGTTAAGTCCGTGTGAGTTCAGTTAATCCTGGCCGACAATTACAGTATGGCCTTGACCGGTAATATACCTTGATGCTTATATTATATTTGAACTTGTTAAGCATCCAAAGTAGGTGGTTAGGCATTTTGTGAAGTCCATTCTCCGATTTTATAGAGATTATATGAGGGCTTCACATATGTTTACACAGTTCACAAATTAGGTGACATTGTATAATGTGGGTCAGTAGCAGTTGGTTGGGAGACCTTGTTCGGCCAGTTCATTTCAAAGGCTTTCGCTAATATCGGTCCTGTGTCACACTGAAGCATGTGTTGCATGTCACATCAGGCAAGAGACTTTGTTCCAAATATGTGTGTGTTCACCCATGAGTTGATGGTCATGTGACTGTTAACCTTACAGCACCTGTCAGGCAGCCTGGGTTGTATACTTCCCAGGGAGCTGGGAATGAAAATGTTGACTGATCCACTGACCAGGGTAATAATCATTCATGCTCTTTGATGCATCATATGCATCAGGGAAAAGCGCCAAAAAATTGTGTTTTACGTTTAGGCCAGAATTTTATTTCTTGTTTTACGGATTTTTGTACTCAGAAAACCTAAAGGCAGGAGGGGAACAAAAATAAAATAAAAATCACCAGTCAAAGTAATATTCCTTTAATTACTATAAGTGTTTTACTTTCGGCAATTTATATATGGCAAGTGTGTGTATATGGGGAAAATAACAATCAAAAAGATTTTTTGTAAGGTTACATTTTTGGCCAATAAAAACATTAGGATTTTATTTTTTGAACGGGGAAAATTAATTATTATTTTTTTCTTATTCTTGAAAAGATACGACCGGCGGATCCATAAAACAAGAAATAAGATTGGTCTGGCCTTATTATAAAATAAAACAGAATCATTTTCCCTGATTAATTAATGATGTTTCAGCCTTCATGGAGACACCTGCCTCCCTCCGACAACCACACCCTTATTGCATACCGCCACTCCGACATCAAGTGGGACCACACCTACCCTCATCTAGCCAACCACAGCAACAAGAGGTGGGTGTAGGACGATGTACGGAGCTAAGACATAGCTAGGAGGAATTATAGAAATCTGTCTTAAGAGAATTAGCCCATAAACATACCCAGTTTCCTATTAAGAGGCCTGAATTGTAAATTTGACAGCTGTAACTTTCATTCAAAACTGAATGTCTCAACATGGTGTGAGGAATTATATATAGACTACCAGTATATGTCCATCATGTGAATAAGATATTCAAACTTTGGATTCATGGCACAGTAGGTTTATCCAGGAATATTTAGCAAGGAAAACACTCTGTAACTATGGCAACATATTTCTATTTCCAGACAAAGTATGTGTGAGAGTATTCATCCTGATATAGGAGATGGAGAAATTGATGAGGGAGGTGATGAGAACCAGACAGATTCAGCAGGTGTGTGTTAAATTTGAAATACAATAAAACATTGAAATTTGAATTCCATATACCTGACACAGTGATAGAGACGAATAAACATTTTGTCATCTGCAGAAACCCATCAATGTGTATCAAATGGTGCTAGAAGTACTGCAAATCTAGAAGCTAGAGTAAATGCAACCCTTTCAAACTAATTTCTCATGTACATCCTTACTGGGGCCCCAAAGTATTTGTCCTATAGATATATGGCTGTATTATATGTTGTGTTTCTCTCTCAAATGCTGGTTTAATAAACCAGTTAAACTCGGCAAAGGCACCTTTGTCAGTTACTTTACGTTTAGTTGAACCTGGGAGATAAACATGCTGTGTTCCTAATGTACTGTTGCTGGTAACCATGGTAACATTGTACAATTAAGACTGAAATTCAAACTAATTGCTAAGAGGTTGTTTATATAATTGGAAACTTTTGATTAACCAATCAGAAGTGAGTATTTCTTAAAGTAATGATTCAGTAACAAAGGATTCTGCCTGTTATCATGATATTTTGGTTTATCAAGCTCTTTTCATTTGTCTTCCAGATCATGGACGTCAGAAGAGGCAGGCATGGCTGCTGAATAAAAACACATGCAACATAATGGTGGTCGCTGACTACTTGTTTTATGAAGGTGTTGGTGGAGGTTTCAAACATCGAACTGCAAACTATATGGTAAGAAAGGAGTGAGGTATCAAATGGTGTAATACTTTTCTCAGTGTCTCATTGATGTTGGATGGTAGCAGACAGGATAACTGATGATCAGACGCGAAATTGTTAACTGTAACACCCTGGGTGAGTGTGTTTACAAACCAGTAGAAATGGCCTCTCAAAGTACAATAGTGTTTGATGTTGCCTGATATTGTGTTAATTAGAGAAAAATGAATAAGCTTTGAAACAGTAGACATTATCTTCCCTACATGAGAGATTGGTGTTAATCCTGAGCCTTTGGTTAGGAATATAGCATTCATTCTTGATGCACAGATAATCAGTTGTTCCAGGTTGCAAAGTTGTTCTCTTTGCTACTCAGTGACACTTTAGGAGAGAAAATAAAGTAGAAATGTATGAAATATTGATCCTGCAGAGAAACCTCACTGAAGGCAGCATATTGTAATGGGGACTTAATGTCATAATGTAAACAATTTGTCATATGGACAATTGTTGACGCCATATCATGGGTTTATATCTATACGCTGATCTTACTAGACCAGAATAAATATGGACTGTTATAAGCTGATCTTACTAGACCAGAAGATTAAATATGGACTGTTATAAGCTGATCTTACTAGACCAGAAGAAATATGGACTGTTATAAGCTGATCTTACTAGACCAGAAGATATATGGACTGTTATAAGCTGATCTCTACTAGACCAGAAGAAGATATATGGACTGTTATAAGCTGATCGCCAGAAGATGATCTTACTAGACCAGAAGAAATATGGACTGTTATAAGCTGATCTTACCAGAACAGAAGATATATGGACTGCTATAAGCTGATCAGACCAGAAGATATATGGACTGCTATGGACTGTTAGCTGATCTTGATCTTAGAACAGAAGAATATGATGTTATATGGACTGACCAGAAGATATTATGAGCTGATCTTACCAGACCAGGACTGTTATAAGATCTTACTAGACCAGAAGAAATATGGACTGTTATAAGCTGATCTTACTAGACCAGAAGAAATATGGACTGTTATAAGCTGATCTTACTAGACCAGAAGAAATATGGACTGTTATAAGCTGATCTTACTAGACCAGAAGAAATATGGACTGTTATAAGCTGATCTTACCAGACCAGAAGATATATGGACTGTTATCTGCTATAAGCTGATCTTACTAGACCAGAAGATATATGGACTGTTATAAGCTGATCTTGGACTGCTATAGACCAGAAGAAGATATATGGACTGCTATAAGCTGATCTTACTAGACCAGAAGAAATATGGACTGCTATAAGCTGATCTTACTAGAGACCAGAAGATATATGGACTGCTCTTATATATGGACTGTTATAAGCTGATCTTACTAGACCAGAAGAAATATGGACTGTTATGAGCTGATCTTACTAGACCAGAAGATATATGGACTGTTATAAGCTGATCTTACTACCAGACCAGAAGAAATATGGACTGCTATAAGCTGATCTTACCAGACCAGAAGAAAAATGGATATAAGGACTGTTAGACCAGAAGATAAGCTGATCTTACTTACTAGACCAGAAGAAATATGGACTGTTATAAGCTGATCTTACTAGACCAGAAGATATATGGACTGTTATAAGCTGATCTTACTAGACCAGAAGAAATATGGACTGTTATAAGCTGATCTTACTAGACCAGAAGATATATGGACTGTTATAAGCTGATCTTACTAGACCAGAAGAAATATGGACTGCTGATCTTACTAGACCAGAAGAAATATGACTGCTATAAGCTGATCTGTTATAAGCTACTAGACCAGAAGAAATATGGACTTATATGGACTGTTATAAGCTGATCTTACTAGACCAGAAGAAATATGGACTGCTATAAGCTGATCTTACTAGACCAGAAGAAAAATGGACTGCTATAAGCTGATCTTACTAGACCAGAAGATATATGGACTGCTATAAGCTGATCTTACTAGACCAGAAGAAATATGGACTGTTATAAGCTGATCTTACTAGACCAGAAGAAATATGGACTGTTATAAGCTGATCTTACCAGACCAGAAGATATATGGACTGTTATGAGCTGATCTTACTAGACCAGAAGAAATATGGACTGTTATAAGCTGATCTTACTAGACCAGAAGAAATATGGACTGTTATAAGCTGATCTTACCAGACCAGAAGATATATGGATCTTACTAGACCAGAAGAAATATAAGCCAGAAGATGATCTTACTGATCTTACAGACCAGAATAAGCTGATCTTATATATGGACTGCTGATGAGCTGATCTTACTAGACCAGAAGAAATATGGACTGCTATAAGCTGATCTTACTAGACCAGAAGATATATGGACTGTTATGAGCTGATCTTACTAGACCAGAAGATATATGGACTGTTATAAGCTGATCTTACCAGAACAGAAGATATATGGACTGTTATAAGCTGATCTTACTAGACCAGAAGAAATATGGACTGTTATAAGCTGATCTTACCAGACCAGAAGATATATGGACTGTTATACGCTGATCTTACTAGACCAGAAGAAATATGGACTGTTATAAGCTGATCTTACTAGACCAGAAGATATATGGACTGTTATACGCTGATCTTACTAGACCAGAAGAAATATGGACTGTTATAAGCTGATCTTACTAGACCAGAAGATATATGGACTGTTATAAGCTGATCTTACTAGACCAGAAGAAATATGGACTGTTATAAGCTGATCTTACCAGACCAGAAGATATATGGACTGTTATAAGCTGATCTTACTAGACCAGAAGAAATATGGACTGTTATAAGCTGATCTTACTAGACCAGAAGAATATATGGACTGCTATAAGCTGATCTTACTAGACCAGAAGAAATATGGACTGTTATAAGCTGATCTTACTAGACCAGAAGATATATGGACTGCTATAAGCTGATCTTACTAGACCAGAAGAAATATGGACTGTTATAAGCTGATCTTACTAGACCAGAAGAAATATGGACTGTTATAAGCTGATCTTACTAGACCAGAACAAGAAGACTGCTATATGGACTGGACTGCTATAAGCTGATCTTACCAGACCAGAAGAAATATGGATGGACTGTTATAAGCTGATCTTACCAGAACAGAAGATATATGGACTGTTATAAGCTGATCTGATCTTACTAGACCAGAAGAAATATGGACTGTTATAATAAGCTGATCTTACTAGACCAGAAGAAATACTGTTATAAGCTGATCTTACCAGACCAGAAGATATATGGACTGTTATAAGCTGATCTTACAGAAGATATATGGACTGTTATAAGCTGACCAGAAGAAATATGGACTGTTATACGCTGATCTTACTAGACCAGAAGATATATGGACTATTCTTACCAGTAATGGACTGCTGATCTTACTAGACCAGAAGATATATGGACTATTGTAAGCTGATCTTACTAGACCAGAAGAAAATGGACTGCTATGAGCTGATCCTACAAGACCAGAAGAAACTGGGCTGCTATGAGCTGATCCTACAAAACAGGAAGAAACTGGACTGCTATAAGCTGATCTTAATAAACCAGGAGATATTTTCCTAGACAGAAGCTTCAGACAAGGTGTAGCTTCACCAACAAAAGTGTGGCTATCACTCACTACAGGTCATCACTCACTACAGGTTTGTGTGTAAAAGTGTGGCTATCACTCACTACAGGTTTGTGTGTAAAAGTGTGGCTATCACTCACTACAGGTTTGTGTGTAAAAGTGTGGCTATCACTCACTACAGGTTTGTGTGTAAAAGTGTGGCTGTCACTCACTACAGGTTTGTGTTTTCAGATTGGGCTAATTCAAAGGATAGACAACATTTACCGTGAGACGCTGTGGAATAAAGAAAGGGGACAGACAGGATTTGGATTTCAGATCAAAGAGGTCAGATTTTGTTTGACCTTGAGTCACAGCATGTTATCCTGCTAGACTTTAATCACTGTGGTATAGGCCTGAGGTGGAGATGTCAGACTGTAGATGTGTGTTCAATTCCAACACACGTACAGCAACTTTTGCAACCATATTTGGATTTGTCCATCAAAGAGTGTTGCCACACATTCTGATACAGATGAAATAAGCTGGAATGCTGACTAGATATGAAAACCTACATAATATTAGCATAGGAATGGCAGGATCAGATCCAGGATTTGGGAGAAGGGGGGGATGCACATAAAGCAAAGGTTAGGGAGAATTGTTGGAGGGAGGGGGTGCACACCCCCACTCTGGATCCGCCCATGAATGGTTAGCTGAGGAACCCATGGGTTTACCTCAACTCTCAACTTTCTCTGAGGCCATTGTTTAGCCACAAGCTTGCATGACATGACCATAACAATTCACAATTGGTATCAAATATTTCACAATCCCTCAGCATTTACAGAACTCAAAACATTTTACAAATATTTTTTCACAATTTTTACAGTGTTTAAATACCCTAATTCCTTGAGAACCATATCCTATTTTCCTAACCACAAGCAAGTGAAACTGGTCAGGGTCAGGACAATGTCTTTATGATTGATGAATCCACAACTTGGTACATACACCTGAAAATAGTTAAGCGCCATTAACTATACATTTCAATATTAAATAGCCTTTTGAAAACAATTATTTTCTGATAAACACATTTACCTTTGTTTTCAAAGATGCATTCTGGTATTCATAAAACCAAACTGACTGGCAGCATGCTGTAGCAGTTTATAAATAACTCTTTGGCTGGCATATATGGACAAATTGAGATATTGTTCAAAATCATTAAACATGAATAGGAAATATTGATTTTAAACTTAATTATTTTGGTCATTTGATCCCGACTTTGGGCCAGGTGTCGACCTAAGAGCAGGCCCAGATAAATCCCTGGAAACTTATGAAATATAGGTCCATTCTCATGATATTTACGAATGGATGTGTGGCATAGTGAATGTTCCATACATTATATCTTGATGTGTGCTTATAGTATCATAGCAGTACATGTTATCTCTGGGTAGTGGCTAATTTTAACATCTAGTCTCTGAAATAAACATATTTTACACATAAAATATTTAAAAAAGGATCCCGAGGGTTTCTTTATTTTCAGAAACTGTGAAACATACCACATATTCTAGACATGCATGGGCTGCATTGGGTATATTTGTTTCAGGGTCTGTGTGACAGAGTAGGTTGTGGCTAGCAATACTTCCAATTGTAGAGTCAGACTTTAAGTTTGACTTCTAAGCGGATCGTTGTTCGTTGTTCACAGATGCGTATCCACAACAGACCTACATCTGTTGCTAAGGGCGAGCAGCATTACAACATGAAGAACGCCAACCCATGGGACACGCGCGAACTGCTGAATGTAAGGCTGTCATCTTTGTAGTAATCACATATATATATATCCATTTTAACATGTTCTTGTTCTTCGACTTTATGAAGTGCGAACAATTTTGAATCAGGATCTAAGATTAACAATGAAAGTTCTTAGCAGTTTTGTAGGGGCCAATATCTTGGTTTCCAAATGATTACCGTTTTGACTAAATTAGAATTAATAAAAACTTTTCAGAAAAATATAATAGCACAAGATTTTGTTTCAAAGAGTGGATGATGAAAAACGTTTCTGCTTTATGTGAATCATTTCAGTGACAGTTGCCTAAAGCATTTTATTTCTATAAAAAAAATGTTAAAAAATGTTGCTCCTGCCTTTTTTGAAAAATTGCCATGAAGACCTACCGGTAACAATATGTTCTCACCACAAATGTCAGAGTGATGTTCCATGTAGTAATTTAGTTATTGTTCCATTATTCGTTTAGGAGTTCAGCAGCCATGTCTTCTTTGGCCGATTCTGCCTAGCTCATCTGTTCACGTACCAGACTTTCAGTGGCGGCGTCCTGGGCCTGGCGTACATAGCGTCACCGCGACTTCGGCACTGTAGGGGGGATATGTTCCCAACGTAAGTGATGTCTCATATTGGCCTCGTATCTCCAGCACTTGGCGCCATTTCAGGAAAATGATTGCCATAAAAATGTCTCATGTTGTATGCTATGTTTTCTGGCCCATGGGGTAACCTAGTGGTTAGAGCGTTCACTTGCTACGCTGCAGACCCAGGTTCGATTCCCCACATGGTCATGTGTGAAGCCCATTTTTGTTGTCCCCTGCCATGATCTTGTTGGGATATTGATAAAAGCAGGGTAACACCATACTCACTTACTCACTATAAGCTTGGGGGAACTATGAAGATTGTGCCAACCGAAAAATACTAGAGAGTCTGTAGAAACTGGTTCTTGTTCAGGGGACGGTGAGGTAGCCTAATGGTTAAAGCGTTGGCTCATCAAGCCGAAGACCCAGGTTTTCGAATCCCCACATCGGCACAATGTGTGAAGCCCATTTCTGGTGTCCCCTGCCGTGATGTTGCTGGAATATTGCTAAAAGCGGCGTAAAACTAAACTCAGTCAGTCAGTCTTGTTCAGTCTGTTAATGTTTCACATGTTTTGACATCAATATAACTTGTCATTAGGGTTGAATGGTATTACCGGTATATTACAATACGCTTTAGAAACAGTAGGTATTGCAATACTTTTTTGGAGAACTTGAATACTAGGTAACAAAAATTACATGAAGTTTTATTATTATCTCAGTGGTTAAAGTTCAAATCTACACAGGCTTTTGTTCATACACAACTGATGTTTCCTTTTGTAATCAATTGACAAAACTGCTTACTTTACATATTATGACTTGTATAAAACAGAGAATAGACTCCCTGACAAACCAACCTAATTTTGAGATTGCCCGTTATTCTGAAACATGTAGAAACCTGGATCTGTTTACAATCAGTGTCACTGTCAAATACTCTCATGACCTTGTATCATGGTACACTTCTGTATCTCATTACACCAGTGTAAGAAATAGTTTCCAAATTTTGCAAGCCAGTCGGGCTATCTATGCCTGAAAGTTACTAGGCCACAAAATAATTCACTAGCCGAAATTTGAATGTAGAAACTAAGCAAAATATTACAGAAAGGTAAAATACCATCATTTATCAGGCCATAATCTTGCATAATTTAAAAGTGTATTATAACTTAACAAGTGGGAGAGAATGATGTATTTAAAAATTGAACCCGTGAAAATTCATTAGACAGTCGGGCCAGTGACTGTAGAGATTTACTGGCCTGACTAGATTTTTACTAGCCACGGGCTAGCAGGCCAGTGGCTATTTTGCACACTGCATTACACCACTGACATATATGGATTTACATTCAGCTTATACAAGGCGGGGCAAGAAGCGCTACCTCAACACAGGTTGGAGCAGCTCCCTAAACACAGCAGGCATCAGGCAACTCACCCAGGAGTCCATGCTGGTTACAGCTCATGGTAGGTACCTGTCTACAGCTCATGGTAGGTACCTGTGTACAGCTCATGATAGGTATCTGTCTACAGCTCAGAGTAGGTGCCTGTGTACAGCTCATAGTAGGTGCCTGTGTCCAGCTCATAGTAGGTACCTCTCTACAGCTCATAGTAGGTACCTCTCTACAGCTCATGGTAGGTGCCTGTGTACAGCTCATAGTAGGTGCCTGTGTACAGCTCATAGTAGGTACCTCTCTACAGCTCATAGTAGGTACCTGTGTACAGCTCATAGTAGGTGCCTGTGTACAGCTCATAGTAGGTGCCTGTGTACAGCTCATAGTAGGTGCCTGTCAGCTCACAGCCTCATAGTAGGTGCCTGTGTACAGCTCATAGTAGGTACCTCTCTACAGCTCATAGTAGGTAGCTCATAGCTAGGTACCTGTCTACAGCTCATTGTAGTAGTGTACAGCTCATACCCTCTGTACAGCTCATAGTAGGTACCTCTCTACAGCTCATAGTAGGTACCTCTCTACAGCTCATAGGTACCTGTGGTAGCCTGTGTAGGTACCTCTCTACAGCTCATAGTAGGTACCTCTCTACAGCTCATAGTAGGGTACCTGTGTACAGCTCATGGTACAGCCTCTCTACAGCTCATAGTAGGTACCTGTGTACAGCTCATGGTAGGTACCTCTCTACAGCTCATAGTAGGTACCTGTGTACAGCTCATGGTAGGTACCTGTGTACAGCTCATGGTAGGTACCTCTCTACAGCTCATAGTAGGTACCTGTGTACAGCTCATGGTAGGTACCTCTCTACAGCTCATGGTAGGTACCTGTGTACAGCTCATGGTAGGTACCTGTGTACAGCTCATAGTAGGTACCTGTGTACAGCTCATGGTAGGTACCTCTCTACAGCTCATAGTAGGTACCTGTGTACAGCTCATGGTAGGTACCTCTCTACAGCTCATAGTAGGTACCTGTGTACAGCTCATGGTAGGTACCTCTCTACAGCTCATGGTAGGTACCTGTGTACAGCTCATAGTAGGTACCTGTGTACAGCTCATTGTAGGTACGTCTCTACAGCTCATAGTAGGTGCCTGTGTACAGCTTATAGTAGGTACCTGTGTAAAGCTCATAGTAGGTACCTCTCTACAGCTCATGGTAGGTACCTCTCTACAGCTCATAGTAGGTGCCTGTGTACAGCTCATTGTAGGTGCCTGTGTACAGCTCATAGTAGGTACCTCTCTACAGCTCATAGTAGATGCCTTAGTCTGTCTCACAGTCCCTGAACCACATTAATTTCCCTACTGCCAAGCCCTCTCTGCAGTGCTAAAGTCCTAAATAAAGCAAGTCTAGATTTCCTCAGGTTCTGAATCTCTGGTCTCCTTAGGGCTCCTTTTCAATATAAATGGGCTTGTTTGTTACTATCAAAATTATATATATTCACAGACTAAGCCTTAGTCTATAGGTGCCTGTGTACAGCTCATAGTAGGTGCCTGTGTACAGCTCATGGTAGGTACCTCTCTACAGCTCATAGTAGGTACCTCTCTACAGCTCATGGTAGGTACCTCTCTACATCTCATAGTAGGTACCTGTGTACAGCTCATGGTAGGTACCTCTCTACAGCTCATGGTAGGTACCTGTGTACAGCTCATAGTAGGGACCTGTGTACAGCTCATAGTAGGTACCTGTATACAGCTCATTGTAGGTACCTCTCTACAGCTCATGGTAGGTACCTGTCTACAGCTCAGGGTAGGTAAATGTCTATGCCACACACTAAAATCTATGCTGGTTACAGCTCATATTGGCTACCTGTGTGTTGCTGAAGGTGGGTATCTGTTTATTGCTCAGTGTACATACACATTAACATCCATTTTTTTGTGCCTATGGTATACTCTTTACCACATACTTCATATGAAATAAAAACATTGATGATCTCATTGGTTGATCACTGGTTAACTTCATGGACAGTACAGATCCAATCTTCTTCAAGCAACCTATCCATATGTCATTCATGCTTTCATTTATACCATAGCTTCTAAATGCCTCTTGCAGACATGCCATAATATATATAATTTATGAATATTTATTTTGTCTTTTCATTATTCCTGGATCATCAACAGAATTCGGTAAGTATTCTTTTTACAGTCTGATCAAAAGAGTATTCTGTTGACAAAAAATAACCTGAACAAAAGATTATAAAAATGTATTCAATACAGATACTGTTATAGTACTAATCATGTCGTTCAAGGAAACAAATAACGAGCCACTGATTCAGCTGACATGCTCATTAGGTTAGGGGTGGTTGAGAGTGGCTTTGTGGATGGAGTGTTCAAGCAGCACACCACAGAATTGGGTTCTTTTCCCTGCTATGATACTGCTGGAATACATCTGTGATGTGACTCTACTCTCTCACTATCTACCAAAAGACGTTAAAATATGGTACTTGTTGGTCCCTGCCTGGCTTTCGGCATTAATGGGTACAACAAGGACTGGTCGACTTGGAGTCAATATAATGTGTCTGAGTGGGGTATTCATGCTTCACTGCGGCATGGTATCTCAGTGGGCTAGCACTATAAAACCAGCTTCAGTCTGGGCTAGTACAAGCAGCCACAACTCGGGAAATTATGTACCATTTGCAAAACATGCAAAATAGGTAACTATTTTTGAAGGTATATGTGATCCTGATGTGTCTGTAAGTATATATGGTAAGGATGTGTATGTAAGTATATATGGTAAGGATGTGTCTGTAAGTATATATGGTAAGGATGTGTCTGTAAGTATATTTGGTAAGGATGTGTCTGTAAGTATATATGGTAAGAATTGTGTTGGAAACGCCTGTATACATGTACAACAAGCATGTTTTTTTAAAGGATATAAGGTAAGCATTTTTATGTTAATATATATGGTAAGGATGTGTATGTAAGTATATATGGTAAGGATTTTTATGTAAGTTTATTGTAAGGATTTTGTTGTGTAGCTTCATTTTGTTTCAGGTCATAACTGGGGCAGTGAGCATGACGTTGATACAGACGAGTGTGCCCCTGACTCCTTCAACAAGGGACGCTACATCATGTATCCCTACGCCGTCAGCGGATGGGAGGAGAACAACTATGTAAGAAGTTCCATCTTTGTCTTGACATGTTCATCATGTTGAGCTGATTCCATGCAATAAACTACCCCTGAAGATCCAGATTGGAACTGATCTTCTGTAAACCCATGCTTGTCGTAAGAGGCGACTAACGGGATCGGGTGGTCAGGCTTGCTGACTTGGTTGACACATGTCATCGGTTCCCATTTGCATAGATCGATGTTCATGCTGTTGATCACTGGATTGTCTGGTCCAGACTCGATTATTTACAGACCGCTGCCATATCACTGGAATATTGCTCAGTGCGGCGTAAAACTAAACTCACTCACCCATGCAATAAACACAAGATACTTGGATCATTGTGTCAGTGCGCTGAAACAAAACTCTCAGCTCCCAGGGGAATATGCAGCCTAAGCTGGTATTCAGACATTGAAAGGGAACTCATTTCACATGCTTAATGGTAGGCTGGCTTGCACACTGTTCTCACAATTAAGCATGAAGTTCTTGAATATCTTAATGTATGGTTATTAATGACATGCTAAGGATCTGTAAATGCTGGCCATGCTTTGAAGACCCATGAAGATCCTGGTTAGAATTGACCTTCAGTAACCCATGCTTGTCGTATGAAACAACTAACGGGATCAGGTGGTCACGCTCGCTGACTTGATTGACACACATCATCGTATCCCAATTGCGTAGATTGATGCTCATGATGTTGATCACTGGATTGTCTGTTGTCTCAATTCTTCTCAGCCCGCCACCATACAGCTGGAATATTGCTGAGTGCGTCATTAAACAAACAACCATGCTTTAAATATGGTGGAGCACTCAGACCCTCTGCGTTCCAGACTTGAACCAGTTCAACCATTAGACACAAGTGTGCACTAACCTATAGTAGTGAGTAGTTACAGGTAGTGAATAAGAAAGTAGTGTTAGTCCAGACTGATTGATGAGCTGTATTCTGCCCAGGTGTTCTCCCCCTGCAGCATGCGTTATGTGTCCGGATGTGCTGAGATCTAAAGCTTACAAGTGTTTTGTAGGTAAGTTCACTGAACTGTCCTTGCCGTCTTGCTCTGACACGGTGCACTTATACGTAGAAAAGCAGCTCATTGGCCTATAATTGGCTCGTCACACCAACATTCGATACTATGCAGTCAAATGTGTTGAACTTTTATGTGTCAACTTTATGGTTGTCTCAAAGTGAAAGCTTTGTTGCTGCGTATTCCATATTTATTCATCAGTTTGCTCTTGGGTAAAACCTCGGATAACCTAAAGTATTGACATCACTCCCCTCAGATGTGTCACAACAGTGTTTCTTCTTTGCGTGGCATTTAGAAGCTGGTGTGATGAACAAGTGGTATAGTTCTATTGGAGTTATTTGCTTGACAACAGTGTTACCACATATATTGTCATAAAGGAGTTGTATATCCATAGCACTATATATCTGTATATCCCCTGTTCACAATAGTGTTTGGCTGTATTTCCCACAGGGGTACAAGATGTGATATACAGGGCGGTGGGGTAGCCTAGTGGTTTAAGTGTTCACTCATCATGCCAAAGACCTGGGTTCGATTCCCAGCATGGGTGTAATATGTGAAGCCCATTTCTGGTTTCCCCCTCCGTGATATTGCTGGAATTAGCAGTTCCCAGAGTTATTTATGAATATGGTCCCACATGCAGGAACTGTCATATCTCTGCACATCTATACTGTTATATTGAAGTAGAGAAAATTGTGCTACAGACAGTTAATGTAAATGAAAGAATCAGTGAAATTCTTCCCTCACTATCAGCCAATGGCAAGTCTGTTACAGCTGGATGTCACTTGACGTGATCCCTGACTTCTCGTGTTGACAGAGAGGAAGGACAATGTGCCGTACTGTGGGAACGGCATCGTGGACAACCTGGAGAACTGTGACGCTGGACCTGACGGCGACGACTGCTGCACCAGCAAATGTCGGTTCAAGTCAGGAGCCATTTGCAGGTAGATAAACTTAGTGCAGGTAGAGGGGCGGTAGGGTAGCCTAGTGGTTAAGGCGTTTGCATCACGCCAAAGACCCTTGTTCGATTCCTCACAATGTTGGTGTCCCCTGGCGTGATATTACTGGAATATTGCTAAAAGTAGCGTAAAAGCGATACTCACTCATCCCATCACATCCACCGTCATCACATCCCACCCATCGTCACATCGCATCACATCACATCACATCGCATCACATCGCATCACATCATCACATCACTCACTCACTCACTCACTCACTCACTAGTACAGGTAGATACACATAGTACAGATATATGAATGTAGTGCAGAAAGGAAGAGAGTTATGAACCTGGTGTTCGGAATGTTACGACCTATCGTAAATCTATATTTTATCATAGTCTTAAGCATAGCATAGAGCTACAAACATTTAGCGGATCGGGCTTCTGGTCCGATATGTGCACCGCCTCTGTGGTGTAGTGGTTAGAGCGTCCGCCCGGAGAGCGGAAGGTCGCGGGTTCGATCCCCGACCGCGTCATACCAAAAGATGTTAAAATATGGTACTTGTTGGTCCCTGCCTGGCGCTTGGCATTAATGGGTACAACAAGGACTGGTCGGCTCGGAGTCAGTATACTGAGTCTGAGTGGGGTATTCATGCTTCACTGCGGCATGGTATCTCAGTGGGCTAGCACTATAAAACCAGCTTAAGTCTGGGCTAGTACAAGCAGCCGCACATACACATACACCCGCATGCACGTCGTCATATGAGCGAAATATTCTCAAGCACGACGTAAAGCCCAATTTCACCTCACCTCTGATATGTGCTTCACTCCAGTGAGTGAGTTTTCATGTTTGGTTGGTTTGCTGTTTAACGCCGCACTCAGCAATATTCCAGCTTTATGACAGCGGTCAGTACACAATCGCGTCTGGACCAGATAGCCCAGTGATCAACAGCATGAGTACTGATCTACGCAATTGGCGATACAATCTGACCACCCAATCTCATTAGTCACCTCTTACGGTGAGTTTTGAACCAATCCTGGTCTGTGATTCTGGCCAGTGAGAAAGGTATGACCTTGACCTTGTCTCTGTTTCAGCCCAATGAACTATGAGTGCTGTGAGGACTGCCAGATGGCCAGCGTGGACTACCAGTGCCGAAGCTCCTCCCCCAACAGCTGTCTACAGTCCACCAAGTGCAAGTATCCTTGGCAACCATCACCCCAGAAACCGACAATTTTATGCTTAGTCTCCCAAAAATTATGTTACAAATGTCCTATATATCACAGCATGTAATTTTACATGTTAGCAAATAGCAAAAGAGGGGTTTTGTCAAAACTGAACACACATTCATGATACTTTGATATTTTTTACAAAATAAAAGTTATAAATCTATCCTTTTTGAGGGTCTGAATACTAGTACTTATTATAGGTAGAGAGGCTTCATGGGAAAATAAATGTTGCATAAAATGGTGGAGAGACGAACAATAACACCAACCTCAGTGGCACTTCATGTATGATACAATAGAGACTTGTGGTTGCGGTATTAAGGTGCAGTTCTTTCTTAGAAATAAATAAGTATAAAATAAAAAAATTGACATCGCTGAAATATTTAGCAATTGATAACATTTCTTGTGATCAGAAATATATGTTTTTCCTTAATGCTGTCCCAGTGGATCTAGTTTTGACTGTCCAATGGCAGAGCCTAAAGTGAATGATACAAAGTGTATAGATGGGTAGGTATAGTTTAAGGTTATATTTGGGGATTAATCCCCAAACATAATCAGTGATTGATTTTGCTAACAAAATAGGTGTTGGGCAAGCCTAGTGGTTAAAGTGTTCGCTTGTTAAAGTGTTCGCTTGTCACACCGAAGACCATGGTACAGTGTGTGAAGCCCATTTCTGGTGTCCCCCGCCGTGATATTGCTGGAATATTGCTAAAAGCGGCGTAAAACTAAACTCACTCACTACTAACAAAAGAAGCTGGATCTGAAGGAATTTAAAGTTTGTTAGTTTATTGACTGAACGATCATGCAATTATGTGGAAGGGTTAACTGTAACAAACAGGAATGTGTATATGACTTACACACTTGCATATTAATATACTGCACAAAATAGGTTAGGGATATTGGTATTTTTATGACTGATATTTTATCAGTGTAACAATGAATAAATAGATCATTATTCATAATTTCAAAGTTTGCATATATCCCCAACTATTTTTGTCCAGTATATTTCTGATTTACAGGACCCGGTTGTATCAAACCTTTATAAGTGATGGCTACATTAAACCCAAATGATATTTTTAGTACCCCAGATTCAGGCTGTAATTCATATCTCGGGTGATAGCATTTAAGTTGCATGTCTTCTTACATCAATAAGCTTGGCTGATCTTTTCCATTGCTTATGGATTTAAGTGGCTGAGTTTCTATTAGGTTCAGTTTCTATGAATAATCACCATCTTCCTTCTAGGATCCTGAACGTCCAAACATTGTTTCATGGAATTAGAGTTGTTTTTTTAAGTAGCCTCAATTCATGTCCTACGACTTTCCTTTAGTCTTTGAGTCTTGAATGAAAATACAACATCATTAAAGCTTTGGTCCAACTCTGTATAATGATGTATTATTTAATGAAGGTTTTCTGACGCCATCCACAAAGGTTGACACCACCGGGTCCAAGGGCCCGTTTCACAAAGCTCTTGTAAGCCTATGGTCCTGTTACTTTTCTCCTGGCATTCGTACCTCCTATACTGTAACATAAGAGGTACGAATGTAACATAAGTGGTACGAATGCTACGAGAAAAGTTACGAGATCTTAGGCTTACGAGAGCTTTGTGAATCGGGGGCCAGGTGTCTCTTAAAGTATCTGATAATGACATGATCTATTGGTTACGACTGGTTTGTTCAGGTTTGCTTGTTCATGCACATGTGATCAATACACCTTTTGCAGTGGGACATGCTACGATGGAGTCTGCAAGTCTTTCTGTGAAGTCATGGATATGGAGCCGTGCATCTGTGCGGACAGTAAGAGATATTCATCTATCTACTCATATACATAACCCTCAGCCCCAAACTACTTATATACATGCTTGATTTGCATTTTAGAAGATGATAAATTTATGAACATAGAGATTTTTACTGGGTTACATCTTCTTTTTATTCTCGAGTACAACATTTCAGGGCTTGTTCTGGCCCCATCATCAGATAAAACTGAACAGTAACTGTTAACTCTGGCCGTGACGTCACAATGCTTCTGACTTATATACATAACTCTCATTCCCAAAATGGTGAATTGTATGTCATCATATCTCAAAGAATTGTTGCAGATTCTGTTAGAACTGATCTTCTGCAACCTATGCTCATTTTAAGAGGCACCCAACTGAGTCGCATGATGAGGCTCACTGACTGGGTTGACACATGTCATCAAATCCCAGTTGCGTAGATCGATGCTCATGATGTTGATCACTGTCTGGTCCAGACTCAGATTATTTACAGATTGGTGTCCAATAATAGAAACTTGCTGACTTTGACAAACAGATGTTGATGATAATTTCAAACCATTGATTTTCTGGTTCAGCCTTGATCGTTCACAGCCCACCTTAATATACACTCACGTAACCTTGATTCGTGGATATAAGGGAAGTGCGGCGAAGTTCATATTTTAAATACAAGATTTCATTTTGTATAGGCACTGATTATCTTATTTATTGATTCAGCAAATTGAAAATGCCTAATATTCCCCTTGTGAATAAAACGTTTGTTTACCAAAGCCATTTGAAATCATCAGCCATTCAAAAGTACCGCTTCGTGACGTCAGTCGAGACTTAATTCCGAGCTAGCATGATAATTATTGCAATCCACGAATCAAGGTTATCCATGTATCTAGGTTACGGTTCTGTAACTGGAATATTGTTAAGTGAGCAAACAAACAAAACCTTAAAATGGAAGAATCAGTTGTTCCTCAACTTATTTTGAGTGGTATTGTAAGGCTTGACACTGAATAATGATATGTGGGGACCATGAAGACATCGTCAAACTCATTCAGTAGAGAGCACAACTGACTTATTTGCTCCTGTGAGTGAGTATCACTCAGAGAGTCTTTTGGTAGTTTGGTAGGTATGGAACCAAAACAAGGGACCTCATCCTCAGAGAATAAGCGGTCCAGTACAGCAACTTGTTCCTAATGACAATAAAAATGTACTTATATGTTTTCTGTTGCATTTATAAAAAATCAAATCGCAACACACTGATTAGTATGTTCAAGCAATGTCAAGATTTTCTTGCCATGTTCCTGCGGTTTAACCTTGACCTTTATCATTGGGCCGAAAGTTAATTTTCACATACTGACACATAAGTATTACTGCTCAAATCTACATGTATTCATGCATTACCTCCCCTTGAGAGTTAACTGACCCTTAGATTTCTGAACATTCTCAGGTAGTCAAGACTCCATGAAATTGGTTGATCCTAGGCGGATCCAGAAATTTTCAAAGGGCAAAAATTTGCCTTCAATGGGGTCTTTAGTCATTTTCAAAAGGGGGGGTTCGAACCCCCTGAGGCCCATGAAGATCCGGGGTAGAATAGGTCTTCAGCAACCCATGCTTGCCACAAAAGGCGACTATGCTTGTCGTAAGAGGTGACTAACGGGATCGGGTGGTCAGGCTCGCTGACTTGGTTGAAACATGTCAATGGTTCCCAATGGCGCAGATCGATACTTATGCTGTTGATCACTGGATTGTCTGGTCCAGACTCGATTATTTACAGACCGCCGCCATATAGCTGGAATATTGCTGAGTGTGGCGTAAAACTAAACTCACTCACTCACCCATGCAGTAAACACAAGATACTTGGTACAGTACAGATTCTAGAACTTTTTGGGGGGTTGAGTCCCATCCGGGATTCAACCCACACCCTCAGAGTCAGGCACCTAATCGCCAGCACACAAAGTCAGACGCCTAGACCACTCAGCCACCGCGGCTTCCACAAAAATGGAAGTCGGACAACTGACTTTGTGTACTGGTGATTAGGTGCCTGACTCTGAGGGTGTGGGTTCGAATCCTGGATGGGACTCAACCCCCAAAAAGTTCTGTACTTTACTGAGAAAGTGTAATCCCAAATCTGTACTTTATTGAGAAAGTGTAATCCCAAATATAACATATGTTACATTTGGCCACTTTCTAAAATGGCATAGTGTATTTCATAGCTTTCGGCTGTGGGAGCCGTGCCAATTAACACTTATCAGAGGGGTACACTAAGTCCGCAGTCTAGACTACCGGTTGTCCGACTTCCATTTTTGTGGAAGCCGTGGTGGCTGAAGCGGTCTAGGTGTCTGACTTTGTGTGCTGGCGATTAGGTGCCTGACTCTGAGGGTGTGGGTTCAAATCCTGGGTGGGACTCAACCCCCAAAAGGTACTAGTATCTGTACTTTACTGAGAAAGTGTAATCCCAAATATAACATATGTTACATTTGACCACTGTTTAAAATGTCATTGTGTATTTCAATATATCTCTATGATGTTGATACCTAGTGGTTGTTCAGTACTAAGATGAGGATTTTGATTTCTCTCTACAGAAAAGAATGCATGTGCCAGGTGTTGTAGACAAAGAGGCAGCGACCAAACCGAGTGTAAACCCAAGGGTGGGTTCCTGGAAGAAGGCAGGCCTTGTTACCAGGGTTACTGCTCAAAGGTGGGTCAGCTCGTTTGGATGTACAGTACACAACCCTGTGCACTTAAAAGAACCCACGAATCCGTTGGTATTTGACCAGATGGTGGCCACATGAATACGTGCAAACACCTAGTTGCGGGTACAGCAACGTGCAGTGAACATGGACAAAGTACTGTGACTATGTGTCCCAGTCCAACCAGCTGTGAATGGGTACCTCGTTAGGATGAGAAAGCCACAATAACTCGGTGCGCCTAGTGGCTGCAAGAGTTGTATACCCCCCTAGGGAGATGAGATTGATAATGCGATGTGCCGTTGAGATTGACATCCAATGATCGAGGCAAAAAATACCAGCGCCTTGAGCATGCACTAGTGCGTGGATATGTGCGCTATATAAATATCCTATAATAATAATGTCGATTGTAGGGGATGGAGGATAGCGTGTGATGGTTGATGGAGTGGGAATGGAGGATTGTGTCCGGTAGGATTGTAGCTGGTTTTAGTCGCTGATATGATTACTTGTTACAGTGGGGCCAGTGTTTGCCTTAGGCATACAAATTTAGGAGTCATCATGACTCCCTGGTGTATGAGAGGGAGTTATGCACATGTTTGGGAGTCAACTTCAGTTTGGAACTTTCATCAAGACATCAACTGTGATTGTTTAATAACAACAAAAAAACAAGGTAAGGCAGGTCAGGTATTTAATCAGCACTGAGCAGTTAACTGGCAAACATTTAGTTTTAGAAGTTAAGATTATCTGAACTATGGGCCCAGTAGCATTGCGTCAACATTGATGCAAGCTTCTAAATTCACTGAGTATTTGAGATAATTTGTGCGTCAAATATGCAGGTTTTCTGCATCATGGCAAACACTGTGGTGCTATTTAAACTTTTTTTTTAATTGATAATTTTTATTTCCTGCTTCCCCAGTTACAGAAGAGGCAATAGAGCCAGGGGACTCTAAGGTCATTTGCAAGAAAACTTCATTGATAACAGGAAAAACAGGATTTGTTTCTAACAAAGCACAAAACAACAACACCAGACACCACAACACATTCACTCACCAATCACACTTACAAGCTTCAAATATTTACAGAAAGTTTAAGTTCAAGTTCATTCAGCCTATATATTTTTTCATTAGGGAACAAGAAGAAAGAATTCAGAAAGTCATTTAAAATTTGCAAAATCATGATATAACATCCACTTTTTATATAACTTATCCTGTTCACTTTTACTGATATATTTTTTTCAATAAAATACCTATCTTGTAAATGAAATCTAAAATGTTTAAAACTAAGAGTAGTTTTTAATACTTTACATTTATATATGAAGAATTTAGCTAACAACAATATTAAATCAAACACATCATCAGTATATACATTTGTTCTCATTCCAAACACAGTAAGTTGCAGGTCCAATTTCATGTTGTGAACATGTTGACATTTATCATTCAATAATTCTAGAAAACATTTCCAAAAAGCTTGCACATGTTCACAATACCAAAACAAGTGGGGAATTGTTTCAACCTCACATTGACAAAAGGTACATAAGTTGCTTTCAGCTAATTGGATCTTAAATAAAAATGAATTAGTTGATGAAATACAATGTATAATCCTGAACTGAAACCATTGAAGTTTAGTATCCCTTGTAGTCTTTAAAGGTTTTAAAAATATGTTTTCACATTCAAGTTCAGCAAGCATACAATCCTCCCACTCATTCTTAAATCTTAAGTTAACATCAGATGCAATCAAAACATAATAATAATACTTGGCTCCCCTCTCAACAGACATCAGTTTTTGATTAACTGTATTACCATCTAACTGCTCAAAAGAAACTCATTAAGCCCGAGAGCCACCTCACTACTCAACACCTGGAACCCCTCGCTGATTGTCTACTCACTGTGCCGAGACTAATTAGTGCTAATCACACCTGATTTCCCTGGCATGTTTCGGGGATGACAGGAAACTGTCTAGTCGTACAAACAAGTCCTGATTGTTTAATTGTGTCATAAAAATATATGTTGAAGGAAAGCAGGTGTGAATACATATCGTGTATTGCAAAGTTTTATGTAATTTGATTGCAAGTTTCTCTTGTAGACCATTGGCGGCTTGTACATTTATATTTTGTCACAATATGCATGTATTCTTTGTATGTAAGAGATGAGACGCACATAAATAAATCCTTTCTCTCATATCAGTGTGTGAGGTTTAAATTTACAAAACATATATGACAATGACATACTGTAAAGAAGAATTTACTTACATACTTTATAATCTTCGATGAAAATAGCGTTTTTGCCGATACATTTCTAGTGTATACAAATTATTCTAATGAAAGTACCATTACACTAGTCTGTGACTAACATAGAGCACATTCATAGCTTGGCACTTTGTTTCATCTAGATTTAATGCAGAAAAGATACGTGACCATACAAACATACATATATAAAATGTATACTACATATTCCTTGCATAGACATAAAACAAAGGGTCACGTGATAGGGCGTCATCAAATTTCCTGAATAGAACGTTCGGTATCTCAACTGTTCAATATAGTGGCTGGTCATATGTTATCTGTGACCAATCGTATCATGAGATACCTGTCACAGAGGAAAGGACAGGTGATGGGGCGTGGGAGAAATTCCCGAAGAGCACGTTTGGTCACTCAACAGCTTGGATAGACATTGATTATTGGCTATAACGTTGACCAGTCGATATACTGGGTTTCGGCTTTATCAACTCAAGCTATCATGTAACAGTTTGCGTCTTGTAAACATACACACTGGTAACGATGTATGAAATATACAAATAAGACAAATAGGAGTAGATAGACCACATTTTAGTGTTTTTCGATAAGTAAAACAAAGCGATTGAAATCCAACCATTGAGTAGAGATAGTATTTATTTTCATATACATTTTACTCACACAACTAGTACATAAAACATAATGGTTTGCTGTACATGTGAATATAATCTTCACCTTGATACGAATGAATATCCAAACTAAAGTACACGTATTACAGAATTCACGAAATGACAGTATACTGAATTATTATAGTGTATAAACTTGCAGTTTTATATTCGATTAGGTAACATTATCAACTTTAGATTATGGAAAATAACTATTTACAATTGAGTAAGCTTCCAATTAGTAAGTTAAATTATGCCTAATCTATTCGAGCTTGGATGTATAATTATTTGTGTTTATACATTATGTTTCATTATATGTAACATGACAACGTAATAATACCTAAAAAGTAAATTCAAACTAGTCTATTGTGTTTGAATTCTTTGTATGTCCTTGAAATTTCGTATATTGTTTCCTATTTATTAGGAAGTTGAAGAAAATATAATCTTCAGTAACCTCTAAACCATTACATCTAATTCAATCAATGTGCATACGAAGTATTTTAGTATCCATTTCCAATGAAGAGTACCAGACACTTACCTCTGTAAAAACATCATAATCCCCTTTCTCTCCGACATGTGTTCATTTGCCTAACGATGTACAAGCCTATATTCTGTTGACGAATATATGTGGCTCTCGCTGTGAGAAACTGCTAATTACCTACCTCATAAACACGTCACTTGCTGTGATGAGCTGATTATTTTGCCCCATATATGTCTCTCTGCCTTAATGAGTTAACTTAGTTTGATAACTTTTACTAGCCATAAAATTCCTCGAGAGTGCGATATGTTCTGTCTAAATTAATAAAATCACAAATTTGACTAACACCTCTCTCAAACCAAGCAGAACAGAAAATAACTTCTTTACCAATTTTTAAGTGCTTGTTATAATAGATTGGTTCTGTGATAATTCATCAAATGAACATGGTTGAATCTTATGTGCAAACTTGTCAAAAGCAGAAATACAATCAAGCCAAAATTCATTCTCAATATCTTTGGAGAGTGTACCTGGAATTTTTTTTTACCAAATACAGCTACATTTTCCATTTTGGGGGAGGAAGCATAGCACAAACATTTCCATTTGGATTCATAGCCAATATCCAACAACTTGGTACTATTTAAACTTGGTGCCATCTGTTTTCAGGAAGGATCTTGCATCAAGACCACAACTGAGCTTATCTACAGGTTCTTTGATTTTATAGAGAAACTCACTCCTAGTAAATTTGGTAAGTTGAATATCTGGAATGTGTATTTATTTGAAATTACACTTCTAATCCCAGATGGAACTCACACCCCCAGCTCAGCTCAGCTCGGCATCAAAACTTTGATGCTCCATAACATCATGCAAATTCTGAAGCCCCATATCAATCATGTTTAGTAATTTCCTTGTTTCAAACAAAACTTCATCACAAGAGATCAGAATAGTAAAATCCATTCAATTTTACATACATTTTGTTTCAATGACTCACCTATTGTATAATTTTCATCATTGTGAGTCCAGAAAATTCTCAGTATGTATTTTTCTTTGTTCCAGTGGAAATCATGAGAAGCAACATAGTGGGGACGGTCATCGTGTTGTCCTTGATCATCTGGGTACCAGCAAGCTGGGTATTCAGCTGTATAGTAAGTTCACAATCAAACAGATGCTCTACACACATGAGAGTCATCCTGCACATTAGCTGTCTTCTTTCCGACTGGGGAGGTGGGGTAGCCTAGTGGATAAAGCATTCATTCCTCATACCGAAGTGCTAGGTTCAATTCCCACATGGGTACAATGTGTGGAGCCTATTCCTGGTGTCCCCCGCCGTGATATCGCTGGAATATTGCTGACAGTGGGACAAAACTAAACTCACTCACTCACTCACTCATTCTTTCAAACCCAAATTACCCTTGTTTCATCTCTTTAATTACTGATTTCTTAATGATGCCAACATCAATATTAGAGATAGGTGGTGAGGTGGCCTAGTGGTTAATGCTTTCACTCATAATGCCAAAAACCCAGGTTTGATTCCCCACATGGGGCCAAGTTGTGAAGCCCATTTCTTGTGCCCCCCACCATGATATTGCTGGAATATTGCTAGAACTAAATTCACTCACTCAATCAGTATTATAGGGATGAAGCATGAACTTGCCAGCTAAAAATCATTCAAACATTTCTGAGTGAATATGCATGTTAGAATAATTTCTGCAAATACAAAATCTATATTTACATGAGTTCCAGAAATCCTGTATTTGGCTTTTATCATTCTTTCCAAATCCTACGATTTTCAAAAGAGTTGCAATGAGCACTTCTTAAAAGGGGGCCTTGCTCCAGTATCTCATATGTTGATTTATTCAGTTCTCTTCAAGATGATACAGATTCAAATTTGTATTTCAGGACAAGAGACAGGAAAGAGAGGATAAAGATTTGCGAGATTGGAAAGTGGTAAGTGGATGTTGCCGCCTTTAGTAGAAATGCAACTACCCAGTATACCTGATGAACTGATGTACAGCCAGGGGACTGGGGTTAGGGTTTGTCTCCAGAACCCCATTGTTAGTCATGAGAGGTGACTTAGGTACACATAGATGTGTCATGGATATTATGTCAAGATGTGACATTAATACCATATAGAAAAATGACCAGTAGAGATATGTCGTGAATAACAGGAGAGATATGTCGTGAATTCCAGGAGAGATATGTCGTGAATAACAGGAGAGATATGTCGTGAATAACAGGAGAGATATGTCGTGAATACCAGGAGAGATATGTCATGAATACCAGGAGAGATATGTCATGAATACCAGGAGAGATATGTCATGAATACAAGAGAGATATGTCGTGAATAACAGGAGAGATATGTCGTGAATACCAGGAGAGATATGTCATGAATACCAGGAGAGATATGTCATGAATACCAGGAGAGATATGTCATGAATACCAGTAGAGATATGTCATGAATAACAGGAGAGATATGTCGTGAATACCAGAAGAGATATGTCATGAATACAAGAGAGATATGTCATGAATAACAGGAGAGATATGTCATGAATAACAAGAGAGATATGTCATGCATACAAGGAGAGAGATGTCGTGAATACCAGGAGAGATATGTCATGAATAACAAGAGAGATATGTCATGCATACAAGGAGAGAGATGTCGTGAATACCAGGAGAGATATGTCGTGAATAACAGAAGAGATATGTCATGAATACCAGGAGAGATATGTCGTGAATAACAGGAGAGATATGTCATGAATAACAGGAGAGATATGTCATGAATACAAGAGAGATATGTCATGAATACCACATAGAAAAATGAAAGAATACCAGTAGAGATATGTCATGAATAACAGTAGTGCTATGTCAAGAATACCAGCAGAGCTGTCAAGAATACCAGTAGATATATGTCATCAATACCACTAGAGATATGTCAATACCACTAGATATATGTCATCAATACCACTAGAGATATGTTATCAATACCATGTAGTTATGTCACGAACACCACATAGAGATATATAATGAATACCATGTAGAGACTTTTTGAGAAATGACATGAAAATGATGTAGAGATATTTATTATAAATACAGTAGTGATTTGTCATGAACACCAGTAAAGTTATACACTGACCATAAGAGCTGACTTATCATCTTGTTTACACCAGGTGAAGATAAAGGCTTATAATGATGTTTTTCTCGGCAGAGTCGCTACCTTATATCCCATGATGAAGTCTTGGAGAGAAACATACATGTGTCAACAATCCGGCGCCTAGGCCCGACCGATGCCACCAAGGAGGGCCTTGTCCCAATCCACAGGATCAGTCCAGTCCATTGAGAAGGAATCCAGAGTTTGATCACTGAATGCAGCATAGCTTACATTAATCAAAGAAAAAAGAGTGGGCATATGTCCTTCACATGTTGTTTGTGCAATGGTTGGTTGTGCATGTGTGAAACATTCACAGATAATGCACTGATAGCTCCATGTTTGACAAACACTTGCAAGAGGTCTGACTGCACAGATTTGATGTAGATTTGACATCTGAACTGTGAGTCTATGTTGGGCTAAATGTCAACATTCTTGTGGACACATCATAAAGCTGGGTAAGCATTGCCCACTGGTCTCTCACATGTTGAAACTTGCTTGACAGAGTGGTGTCCCTTTACCTTGTCAGAATCTGCTGATCATGGGACTAAATCCCATATTGATCTTCATTATCCTTCATCAGCTGTGTACCTGGTTAGTTGGTTTCACCAAAGTGGTAGACATCAGTCAGCTGCATCACTTTGGGCTGTTGGGACCAGTAGCTGACGCACAGTGATGTTGCTGAAATATTCACTTCATCATCACAAGTTATTTCTTTGTGATAACTGTAATTTTCATTCTCACTCAACGTTATTGTTACTGATATTTGTCAAGACAATAAGAACTTTCACAGATAATCTCCCAACTTGGTACAAAGATTGAAATATAGAAATGTGAACAAAAATCGTGAAATCAAAAACAGTGGGCTTCTCATTTACAAACCAGAAGTAAATACAAGGTTAAAAAAAATACTTTTTGCTATCAGTATTAAATTATTAAAATACATGTACTACAATCAAAACATGTAGAAATTTATCTTCCTCAATTGTTTCTTATTTGTATTTAAATATAAAAAAATCTATTTATTAAATTTTGAGAATAGAAATCAAGATATATTATTATTGTTGTTATTTAAGCGTACCTATTAGGGTGTTTGGGGAAAAACGTCCCCCAATCCCCTAAGAGAGTGCTTTTTTACTCTATGCACTGGTTAAATTGGATATTCGAAGTGAAGCAGGAGAGAAAAAATGAAAACTTTACTTTTAGCACAAATGAAAATACAGCTTATTTATAAAACGTTGTTCTGATGATAGAGTGAGTGAGTGAGTTTAGTTTTAAGCCGCACTCAGCAATATTCCAGCTATATGGCGGCGGTCTGTAAATAATCGAGTCTGGACCAGACAATCCAGTGATCAACAGCATGAGCATCGATCTGCGCAATTGGGAACCGATGACATGTGTCAACCAAGTCAGCGAAACTGACCACCCGATCCCGTTAGTCGCCTCTTACGACAAGATAGTCGCCTTTTTATGGCAAGCACATGGGTTGCTGAAGACCTATTCTACCCCGGATCTTCACGGGTCTCTGATGATAGAAATTGTCTTAGCTATATGTAAAAGCCTGGAGTTGTTCTGTAGCCATTGATCTATGCAATATGATTTCCATGTGAAATGTTAAGTGGCCATAATATAGGTACAGCATAGATAGAGCATAAATGTAGTATTGATATAGCATAGGTGCAGAGATATGGTATAGGTGCAGAGATATGGCATAGGTGGAGAGTTAAAAAACTTGATGTAGATACAGTGTTTGCTATAGCTTAGGTGCAGGATTTAAAAAATGTAACTGATGTATTTTTTTTATCTGGAATGGATGCTGTATATGATATAACATAGGTGCAGTATCCGATATAACATAGGTGCAGTATCCGATATAACATAAGTGCAGTATCTGATATAACATAGGTGCAGTATCCAATATAACATAAGTGCAGTATCTGATATAACATAGGTGCAGTATCTGATATAACATAGGTGCAGTATCTGATATAACATAAGTGCAGTATCCGATATAACATAGGTGCAGTATCCGATATAACATAGGTGCAGTATCTTATATAACATAGATCTATCTGATATAACATAAGTGCAGTATCTGATATAACATAAGTGCAGTATCTGATATAATATAGGTGCAGTATCCAATATAACATAGGTGCAGTATCCAATATAACATAGATCTATCTGATATAACATAGATGCAGTATCTAATATAACATGGATGCTGTATCTGATATAACATAAGTGCAGTATCTGATATAACATAGGTGCAGTATCCGATATAACATAAGTGCAGTATCTGATATAATATAAGTGCATTATCTGATATAACATAGATCTATCTGATATAACATAGGTGCAGTATCCAATATAACAAGTGCAGTATCCGATATAATGTAAGTGCAGTATCTGATATAACATAAGTGCAGTATCTGATATAACATAGGTGCAGTATCCGATATAACATAGATCTATCTGATATAACAGATGCAGTATCTAATATAACATAGATGCAGTATCTGATATAACATAGGTGTGGTATCCATATAACAGAGGCAGTATATGATATAACATAGATGCACTATCTGATATAACAGATGCAGTATCAATATAACAGAGGCGGTATATGATATAACAGATGCAGTATCCATATAACAGATGCAGTATCCATATAACAGATTTATCTGATATAACATAGATGCAGTATCTGATATAAGATAGGTGCAGTATATGATATAACATAGATGCAGTATCCATATAACAGAGGCAGTATGATCTAACATAGATGCAGTATCCATATAACAGATTTATCTGATATAACATAGATGCAGTATCTGATATAAGATAGATGCAGTATCCATATAACAGATGCAGTATGATATAACAGATGCAGTATCCATATAACAGATGCAGTATGATATAACATGCAGTATCCATATAACAGATCTATCTGATATAACAGACGCAGTATCTAATATAAGATAGATGCAGTATATGATATAACATAGATGCAGTATCCATATAACAGGCAGTATGATATAACAGATGCAGTATCCATATAACAGATCTATCTGATATAACATAGATGCAGTATCTGATATAACATAGATGCAGTATCCATATAACAGAGGCAGTATATGATATAACAGATGCAGTATCCATATAACACAGATGAAGTATTTGATATAGCATAGATACAACAGTATATTTTACAGCATAAGTAGAGTATTTGAGACAGCAAAGATCTAGTATTGAATCGCATGAACATAGTAATGCATTCATGCAGTGTTTGGTCCAGATGCAGTATTTGATACAGGAGTGATGCAGTATTGTTATAGCATAGATGATGGGCCATTATTCCAATATTCAGTCAAGATGCTGTGTATATTAGAGCATTGATGCAATATATGGAATAAAGACATGATCAACACAGCATAAATCTGTTCAACACACAGCAGGGATCAAATTTGTGTAGCATAGATTTTATGTTAAAATCATAGGTTTAATATAGGATATAAGTCTTGCATGAATGTTGAATATATATGTATATAGGTTGTACAAAATATTATATTTAAGCCTGGTTCGAGAATATCTGAGTTCTGATGCATTGTGGGTTCAGCAGTATAGCAGGGTAATTATGTATACGAGGGATGCTATAATGAGGCAACCAGTACTGTACTACTTGCAAGGTTCCAGTTTCAATACTTTGTTATGCAAGGGCTTTATTGTGATACAAATTCATAATTGTAGAATTAGGATGAAATAGATAAATATGAAGACCAGTTTAAATGTCCAACAGAGAAGTCAATACATACATTATGTTAAAGTCAGGTATCTGTATATACATCAAGTGAATACTCTCTACGACACATGGTTTGTTATCATACTCTATGTCTATGGCATGCGGAGTGTTGAATGTAGAATAAAGAAACATTTTGATGGACACCAGATTGTGTGTTTGATAACTATACTGTACCATGTTCAATTTAGCACCTTGCTTTAATTTAGCACAAATCAGCTTGGATGTATTTACCGACATCCAAATTGAAGTGTCCCTCTGACTGAGACCCCAATACCACTTTCTACATCTGTACATCTAACTGTTATCATGGGTTATGCCCACTTCAGGATAAAGATACAAAATTATATATAATTATCTCAGATTCTCAATAAGCTGGCAGATTTGTATGTATATATATAGGGAGGTGGTGAGGACCAGCAATTAGATGATAACTGTGTTCAGAATAACACAATTCAGCTGTATTCAATACATAAAATCTTGATGAAATGTTTTGAGACTTATGCTTATCTCCCTTTATTCAGGGTCATTTGTGTATTTATTTAATCTATGGGAAGTTGTTCATACAAGAGGCAACAGGCTTGTCTTATTGCTGCTTATTTTGGTGTGCTTGTGCTATATTTGGCCATGTGCTTGTTATAGGTTTGTAGAGTAGAAAACGGTTTTATCGTGTGATGCAGAATATTTGAAAGTGCTGGCACATGTGTTCGTTTGTGCCTCAGGTGGCTCACCTAAATACCATGCACAGTTCAAATGGGCATTATTTGATTGTCATAGTTTGGTATGACACATGGAATCAAACCACAGAGGATGCGAGCTCTGGACACACACCCCTAACCACTACACCATCTACGTGATAAACTTGATAGATTGTCTTTGTTGATTCTTATCAAATAACATGTTTATCTCGTGTGATATAAAAACATGTGCTAATTGTGTCATGTAACAATAACATTTTTGTATTACTGACATTTTCAGTTAGTTTTCTTAATTTTCTTCTTTGAAATGACAATGGGTAATTCAGAAAAGAACAAAACCCTGAAATGTTTAATAACAGATTATGTGCCTCTCATATATGATTAGAATATCTGTTAGAACATGAATTTCATAGAACATCCTTCATGATCATTTTACTTCTGTGTTTATTTAGTTGATTTACATATTTAAAAACGAAAATGTATAGTCCATGGTAAAAACATCTGTGCTTGTAGGTTTTTGCCAAAGTGGTCAAGACCTGTATCACCTGTCTAGTCTGTCTCACAGTGCCTGAACCACATTATTTTCCCTACTGCCTAGCCCTGCAATGCTAACACCCTAAATGAATCAAGTCTAGATTTCCTAGTTAATCTCCCATTGTACTGGGGCTCCTTTTCCATATAAATTGGTTTATTTGCTGCTATCAAAATTATATATATTCAGAGACTAAGCATTAGTCTACACTTTTGCTTTCATCCTACATTAATCAGACAAAAAGTAAAATTGTTTGAAAAATTATCTATAGTCATGTAAAAAAATGAGTGATTAGAGTAACATTTATATTGATGTATGCCAACTTGCACACATCCTAGATAACTCCAAGTTATCAAGGATGACTTGCATAATGAAACCTTTTTATTCTTCTCTGATCTCTGGACATGTCTTGTTACATGTTCAACTTCAACTTATTTTTATCATGGTAACAAAGATATTATACAATAAGATTTGGGGGAAATTGTTTTTTTCTGTTGATCTTAATTAATTTTTAACATGAAACAAATACTCTTGTGCTTTGTGATCAAAACTGTTTTCTGAGATTGTTTAAGGATTCACTTTTTAAGGGTCCTTTTAAAATCAAACTTAGAGAATAGTCTCATGATAAGAAGGGTAATAGTGCTAAGGCCAGACCAATATTATTTCATGTTTTACATATTTTTGTCCTCATAAAACCTACAGGCAGGAGGGAAATAAATAAAAATCACAGTCAAAGTAATATTACATTTAAATACTAAAAGTGTTTACTTTTGGCAATTTATGAAGTGTATATGGGTCAAAAAACGATCCAACATTTTTGGGGGGTAAGTTTACATTTTTGGCCAATAAAAACATTAGGATTCTATTTTTTGAGTGGGGAATTTTTTATATATATATATTATTATTCTTGAAAAAATACGACCGACAGATCCGTAAAACAAGAAATAAAATTGGTCTGGCCTAAAGAAAGTTTGTGAGATATATTTTGAGTTTGATCTTTTCTCATATATGCCATTGTGATTTGTTTACTTGGTGCCTTGTTTCTGAGGAATGATTTGTGAGGAATATCCATATATGAAATGTTCCAGTATTTCTCTCAGGAATGCCATGCTTGGGGTACATGTTGAAAGAGCTTGTCCTCCTGTTCATTTTATCAAGCATACATGTGTAAGTCTTGCCACTGGATTCATGCAAGGGTCAATTTCGCTCTACACAGGTAGCAGCAAAGCAGGTAAAATATTGTTACTGAAGCAACTATCTAGTGTAAGTGTGCAGAGATCATGTTCCATCACAAGAGAATGTCATCACTTTTTTGTCGTACATAGAAACCTTATGGTTATGATTTACTAAATGACCAAATGTTGTCTTTTTTTCACTAACACAATTGACATTTGCTACGACATTTTCTCGACCACCAATTTCCCCAATTGCAATGAAACTCATATTAAGACAGTTTATTTATAGCTAGTATGTTTGTTGTTTACGCCTCACTCAGCAATATTCCAGCTATATGGCGGCCGCCTGTAAATAACCGAGCCAGGGCCAGACAATCCAGTGATCAACAGCATGAGCATCGATCTACAAGGATGTGAGACTGGGATTAGGACTGTATCATACTTTGCTGCCAATCTCCCCTGCCACATTCTGTGTAATATTGTTTTATGCTGTCACCATACACGAATGAAACATTTTGAGTGTCACCTTTTTGTTGATGTATGCTCATACTATTGACCACTGGTTTACCTTCTCCAGAACAGAACCTACACTAGTGTTGTGACAGACTATGATCATAAGATGGGATAAGTGCAAGGAATGTTTCAGTGTGTGTTCTTTCATGTGTAGAATTTTAGTATGGTGAGATTTTGAACAAAGAGTGTTTGTAAAGTTTTTAATTTTATATTTAAAATGTTGTTCATGCTTAATATGTCAAATTCCCTGCAGATTCAGCATTCATTTCAGGATAGTCCAGATCAGGTTTTTGTTTTGTTTTTACAGCAATTTTTGCATTGCAACTCTTTCTTTTTTTAACAGTATCAATTTTATGATTATCCTTTTTTGATTATAAAGCAAAATTACACTTTAAGAGTTTGAGGGGGCACTTAAACACAGTTTTGACTTTTTGATAATGCATGCAGATCTTCAAATGGTGGGACTGTTTTGTGACTGAAGGGAATCTATGCTGTCTCTCACAATCTGCCTTAACTTGACATCAAACCTTGTCACAGGTACAAACATTACTCTATCTTAACCATTGTCTGGGGGCATAGTGCCAATTTCTCCTGCAGAGCTACAACTCTGTGACATGCAATAAATCAATAATGATGTGACAACTCCACTTTACCCTGATCATTATCCCCCACCACGAGGTGTGAGGGGGATATTGGTTTGAGCTCCGTCCCTCCATCCATCCGAGATGATGAGGGCGGATTTGTTAAAAAAAATGTTATAGATAGGGAAACCAAATTTGGGATGTGTTTTGGGCTTTCTTTTCTGTTTGTTAGGGGCAGTTGGGTAGCCTAGTGGTTAAAGGGTTGGCTCGTCAAATCACACCGAAGACCTGGGTTCAATTCCCCACATGGGTACAATGTGTGAAACCCATTTCTTGTGTACCCCGATGTGATATTGCTGGAAAATTGATAAAGCCAGCGTAAAACCATACTCACTCACTCACACACTCACTGTTTTCTGTTAGAGGAAGAAGCTATGATATTTACGTTTTTAGGATATATGGACACTTAGGGTGTGCGGCAAATAATATGTTTTGGGAGTAAAGCCTTGACACTGAATCATTCCAGTGTTTTCCATAAGCCAACATGCACCTTATTCCAGAGATTTGATGCCTTGATGGTAGACACTGCACAATTCATGTTCTGAACAACCTTCAGTTGGTTTGGAACATGTCTGTCAACTGCTATGATCTCATGTACATAAATGTGTGTACTACCTGTGTATCATGACCTCGCATCACTGTATATCAGTAACATATATCACTGTATATCAGTAACTTATATCACTGTATATCAGTAACTTATATCACAATAAATCAGAAGAGAATGATGGATGCTGCATGTGTGAAAACGCATACCTTCGGAGTACTGACGTCAACGTCTTTGTATACTATTAGTTCAAAATTGTACATGTGACATTTTTCCTATGCAGACTCAACTGTTTATGAAGGGTTCATTTTCAATGTAATGTCAATAAATGGTTATTTTTGTAGAATGTACTTTTTTGTTATTTATTACTTGTTCTTTTAACACATGGGTTCTGTCAGCAATGTTCCAGCTATATGACAGCGGTCTCTAAATAATCGAGTCTGAACCAGACAATCCAGTGATTAGCATCATGAGCATCAATCTACCCAATGGGGATATGAAGACATGTGTCAACCAAGTCAGTGAGACTGACAACCCTTACCTCTTACAAGCATGGGCTGCTGACGACCAATTTTAACCCAG